AGAAAGGGTGGGTGGAGCTCTGGGTGATGCTTGATTAATGGCCAAGGTAAAGAAAACTAGAGACAAGCCAAGTGAAGGGTGCGGGGGATTTCATAGGGTTCAGGACTGAAAACCATTGCAAAACCATTATTTGGTCTTAGTTAAAAGACAAGTGGGGGTCAGGAGGAAGGAATATAAAAGATCATTTGTCATTATAAGGTCTTATTGTATTTTTCCAACCACTTTTTTCAATATTTTATTGCTTACCTTAAAGGATGGGCAAATATGAAATGTGTCCAGTGGAAAGTTGCCTTTAAATTTTACGTATTTTTGAAAGGGAGTGGAGAACAGCGGTGGTCTAAAAGCCCTTGAAACTCTAGGGGTCCGAACTCCAATCCAATCCTTTTTCTCTTTCAAGCCTACTCAGTAATGACGCAAGCATCAGTCTCCAGTATCCAACAATCTAGGGGGGGAACGTTGGGGGATTTTAGCTTCGTCTTTGCTGAAATAGCTTGGGGATTATGGAGTCAAAATTAGAACTAGTAAGAATCAACTCATTCAGTCTTGCAAATTAAAGTAAATCCTTTATTTGTGAACATGGGCTTTACTTGGGGTTGTATTTATTTGGTAAGTGTAGGAGTACAGGGTATTCCATTTATTCAGCTACGAAAGTGTTTTGAAATTCCCTGGAATTTCCTTAGGAGTTCAGACAAACATAAGTGCGTCTGAAATCTTTGGAGGATAACAACCGAAATTACCCCTGCTGAAATGACTAAGTTGGAATTTCTGTTTCATGCCTAAGGATTCCAGAATCTTGACAGATGACAGTGAGAAGGGATCACTGGGCAGGTAGCTCAGCTGGTTAAAGCGTTGGCTCCATATGCCAACGTTTCAGGTTTGATCCCCAGTCAGGGCACATACAAGAATTAACCAGTGAACGCATAAATACGTGGAATAACAAATCTCTCTCTCTTTTCCTCTCTCTCTCTCTCTCTCTCTCTCTCTCTCTCTCAAAAAAAAAAAAAAAAAGTGATTGAGGTATTCCAGAGAAGGGGAGGTGGAATAAAAGGGGTTGAGAGCATTACTCAGATAGGAAGACGTTTCTAACTCCATTCTAAGCAGCAGGAGTAGAGTAGTGCAAAAGGAAATGTGGGTGAAGATGAAGTCAAAACAGCTTAATGCATTTCAAATACTGTATTTTGTCTCTAAATAGTCTATTCTAATTTCCCTCAGCTGCCATCATCTGTTCTAGAGACTCACAAAGATCTGTAGACATGCCATTCTTCCTGCATCGAGACATTTTAAAAGCTGAGAAATAACTAAGGATCCGATGAGGGGTTCCGTTAGTCAATAGTTTCAAACAGGAGAAGGAATATGTAGGTCCAAGACTAGCAAGTCAAGATACTCATCAACCATGGAGCTGGGAGGACTTACTCATTTTTGCTTAGCGATGAAGTAGCTTTTATGATTCCCCGCACAGGAACACATGTGTTTTTGTTTCAGGAAGTACCCAATTCCGATGGGCAGATTACTAGATAAACTCACAGATTGGCGTTCTGACTACATTGCCAGTTTCTAAATGTCAAGTAGTTTATCCCCAATCATTGTGTTGCGGCCTAATCACAAACTGTCCCGTCAGGGTGGTGAAATCAAAAGATGTGAGGGAATAGAATCTCTTAACCTTAACAACAGCAACCGCTTTTTGAAAAACACAGGTGAAAATTTTTAGATCGGATCCCTTCACCCTTAGGAATGAGACGATTGCTGAGTGGTGGGGAGTGTTCGCACTCTTGTGCAACGCCTCCTAACCGTTGTGGGAGTGAATCTGGCGTCAGACTCAACAGTATTAATGTGCCTGTCGCCATTAATGAGTATTTGCACAAGGAATCTGTTTTATGCTGTAAAAATAAGTTCGTATTGACAGAGTCTCTATTCCTTAGGACACTCGCTGGAATAGATAATAATGCCCTTGTAGCCATGGTGCTATTTCGCTTCCATTTCTTTAACGTGGTGGATGACGGCTTCTCCATGTGCGTGAGCTTCAGAAACACTCACTGAAAGTTTGTGCAAGTAGCCTTTTCAGGAGCGAAGCCTCAAGCCTTTCATTAGGTTCTGTTGGGAACACATGTCTTAAAGGAGTTAAGAATGATTTAGAATATGACATTAAAAATATACCTGTAATGCGCCCTGGCTGGTCTGGCCCATTTGGTTGGCATCATCCTGTACACCTGAAGGTTACCAGTTTGATTCCCCATCAGGGCACATGCTCAGGGTTGCAGGATCAATCCCTGGTAGGGGGCATGCCGAAGGCAGCCAGATCCATGTTTCTCTCTCCCTTCCTCTCTCTCTTTAAAAATCAATAAAAATATTAAATATATGTGTGTGTGTGTGATGCATCAGTATGATTTTGGCGCTTTGCCAACGTTAATAATATTTTTAAACAAAATAAGGTATAACTTTCCAACAAAAAATAACACACATTCACTGTTCAATTCAGTGTTTTGCCTCCTTTCGGATGAAAATGAACATAGTTGCACATTGTGACTTTCATCTCATCAGAGACTCCTAAAGTACACAGCAGCACACAGCGCGAGAAACCTCCGTTGTGTAACGTCTCTCGCTCTCTTGGAAATAGCAAACGTCATTTTCTTATAGCGCAGCCCCAAATGGTCAGGACTACCCTAGTCCCATTATTGGAGTTTTCAAAATAGCAACCGCACGTTTATAAGCCTTCATGGTGTTTATTGTGGATGTAGTACTACTCGACAAAACACACTCATCGGGCATCTACTTATCATGATCACGATTCTATTTTATCATCTTTCTATCCGTATTTACAAAACCTTCTGAAAATGAAAAGTAAACGCGGCACAAAATCCCCACTGGGAAGAGCGCTGCTCGGAAAGGCCCCTGAGGTGGGGTCATCCCGGGAAAGCGAGAATTCGGGGACTCGCCGCTCCCCGCCCCGCAGGCCCAGCTGCCCAGG